ATACCTTGTGTAGTACACAAAAATAATGAAAAACAACCGTATATTTGTAAGGAAGCTGGATTTTTTTTTAGGATTCTGGTGATATTTTCCATTTGAAAACAGAAAAGGGCTAATATAAGGGGGCATTTTTACTTACATTTCCAAAAGTAAGTTAGCTTACCACCCTAAAATATGTTATTTTGGGTTTAAAGAGTCAACAGCAGTTATTTCATTATGTTTTGTAAATTAAACAAGTTTATTTAGGGTGTTTTAAGCTGCTGTTAAATTGTTCTTTCATTTTGGCAGCCATTTTAAAAAGCGCCCTCAATTGCCTCTCGAAATCTTCACATTAATAACTTTAGCTTTTTATACCTCCTTGGTTATACTTTACTCCTATCATTACATATTCAAAAGTTGGTCAAACCTACCTTTTCTGTGCTTATTTTACCAATATATGTAGTTTATTTGATTTTGGCGGCCATTTTGAAAAAAAGCGCCCTCACGCGAAAGTTCTCAGGTTACGCCTCTTTTACCTCACATATTCTGATTCCCCATTAAAAATTGGTCTAGAAAAACCATATGAGAATTTCTACCTCTCCAAGTGGCACCTATCTCAATTATAGCCTGGTCTATATACTGTAATTTCAAATCTTAACTTTAATGTCGACTCAGCAATCAACTTAACAGAGGCATTCACGGCGCCCTTGCCGGAAGAGAGAACTTCAGTCTTGAAGTGTTGTGCCAAACTTAACTAAATTCAAGTTTCCCACTATAATTATACCAAGCCATCATTGGTATGTAAACCAATCACATACAAGCCTATAATCACATGATCACCCATTCACCAATCATAAAATATCAATGATCTCTATACAGTGACATATGCAATGCCCAGCATCTGCCAGCTTGCATTGTCTCCTAAATAACCATGTGTATATATAAAATAAACATTTCACTTCCTTAATGTTGCTCCACCCGATATAATCAAATATAACAAACAATGTAGAATAAATTCTACAATCACCAAGTATTAACAATTAAATACACTTAATAGGTCTACATATACAGTACTCCATTACAAATATTAAGTTTTGAATTCTGTTGCAATGATTGATTTTAGAATGTATTAAACACTATTTTAAAGTAAAAATCCAACAGTCAAACACGTTTGTGATTGATTTAGTTTTCAATAACAATAAATAAATAAATGGATAGCACATCATACAATGTTTTTACTGTAATTATGTATTTTCTTTCACAGTGTTTCTTTTTAAATTATTTACAGTCAATTGCAGTTTAGCAATCTGATTCTATCTATTAACTATTTTTCTTACTTTCATTACATAACAGCTAGTACTGTGCCTTTTCTTCATGCAGGTATTTTTAATTACCTTTGTAAATATACAAACAAAATAAATAGGCCTAAATTATAACAACTTCTATTTATAATCCAAAAGGCAAAATACTGAAAAAAAAAACACAATGAGATTAAAAATTGGTTATCAAAGGCTAAAATATAAATGTAAAAGTAAAACAGCCAGTGAGATAAATGCATAGCTTTTTGGGACAGAACACTGTCCTTCGCCAGAGATAACTTTTCTATAATTTGTTTTTATTTATTTATCAGGTATACATAGTCTTCTTGCATATAAAAAAAAGCGTAATTGAATACACGTTCTTATCATCTAAATATTGTATTTGTATACAATGGAATATTAATCTACAGTACTTTGCTACAGCCCTCGAAATTAGCGTCGGCATTCTTCAATTTGCCGAGGTGCCCGAAGCTAACGACGGCACTGCTTTGCAGAGGCCCTTCTGTTGTCAAGATAAGCTTAGAATGTAGCATACATTAACGGTGAACGAAAATCATATCTCCTCCAAGCTTTTAGTTGTTTAGTAATGTGAAAATACATTAAGCAAACATAATTTGTAAAAACAAAGACATTTCTACTTGTTAAAAGTTGTTACTGAACAACGCACGATCGAATCGACGGCAAATCAACGCACACGGGGAATCCCCGAATTTGTTCATGTGCACGAACGTTGAACCACGTCCATGGAGTTTAAACCACGGAGGTTTAAAAAAAAAAGTGATGTTTTTATTAAACGAACTTGATACAGTATATATTTATTTCAATCATTAAATACAGGGGTGTCATTTTGAAATGAAATAAGTTTTAGTAATAGGTGGATGAACATGTCGCGGAGCGACATCTGAGGGCCTTCTAGGTTATTTAAACACATAGGCCTAATAATCCCAAACTCAAGAAAGAAATATTTTAGGTAGATCGTTTTACCTAAAAGAAGAATCTCAATGTGTAATGATGGTCAAAGCATATTTTTATGAAAATGCTTATATTCAGTTTCGAAAAAAACGTGTGTGGCCATATGTTATGTATTGTTTTCTATATGGGGGCGGGGGTAGGGTGGGTATG